AACCTGGGCTGCAGGGGTTTCCGGGGAAGCCAGGCTTTCCTGGGGAAGTGGGGGCCCCTGGGCTGCGGGGGCTGCCGGGCCCCACAGGGCCCAAGGGGGAGGCCGGGCAAAAAGGCTTGCCAGGGCTGCCGGGCGTCCCAGGGCTCATGGGACCGAAGGGTGAGCCAGGGCTCCCCGGTGCCCAGGGGCTGCAGGGCCCCTCGGGCATCCCGGGCATCGCGGGACCCAGTGGTCCCATCGGCCCCCCAGGGCTGCCGGGGGCAAAGGGGGAGCCCGGCCTGCCCGGACCCCCTGGCTTCCCTGGCGTGGGCAAACCTGGCGCCGCAGGGCTGCAAGGACCCCCAGGAAAGCCTGGGGCGCTTGGTCCCCCTGGTCAGCCAGGCCTTCAAGGGCCGCCAGGCCCCCCTGGGCCCCCAGGTCCCCCAGTCATCATCCCACCCACTCCACCGGCCGTAGGACAGTACCTGCCTGAGGTGGGGCCAGGGATAGAGGGCGTCAAGCCCCCCTACGGCTACATGGGTAAGAAAGGCAAGGCTGGCGGCGCTGTCTATGAGATGCCTGCATTCACGGCGGAGCTCCTCACCCCCTTCCCCCGGGTTGGGGTGCCCGTGAAGTTTGACAAGCTCCTCTACAACGGCCGGCAGAACTACAACCCCCAGACGGGGATCTTCACCTGTGAGATCCCCGGCATCTACTACTTCGCCTACCACGTCCACTGTAAAGGGGCCAGCGTCTGGGTGGCGTTGTTCAAGAACAACGAGCCGCTGATGTACACCTATGACGAGTACAAGAAGGGCTTCCTGGACCAGGCTTCAGGCAGTGCCGTTGTCCAGCTGATGCACGGAGACAAGGTTTACGTTCAAATGCCATCCGAGCAGGCGGCAGGACTCTATGCTGGGCAGTACGTTCATTCGTCTTTTTCAGGATATTTATTGTATCCCATGTAAAACAAAAACCAGACACACACACATACACACAAAATCAAAACCTTTCTTCTCTGCTTCAAACTTTTATACCATGAAAGATGCATTTTATGACTGTTTCGGACCGTCTTGTACAAAAAAAAAATACAAAGTTTAACATTATGCACAGCTAGTTATAAAAAAAAGGTGTGGTGAACATATCTAAAGATGCATATCAGGTTCATAAACAGTTGTTTTGCACCCGAGGGGGACATATTAGCTGTACATTATATATTTCTGTGATGCCGTGCTTACTTAATTTCATTCACAATAATTCAGTACTAAGGTTCAAATCAGTGTACATCACTCACTCCTGTTTTGATTGATCATAGTTATGAGATGAAAACAGTGACTTAAACTAGAGTAGGTCTGTCTCAAATTCTATGGAAAAATTTGAGCGGCTTTTTATTTTTTTGGCTGGGGGGTTTTTTGACAGCAGGTCTGCCTGACAAGCAAAGGTTCTCTTAGCTGGAGACCTTTATTTCCGTTCCCCCCAACACAAAATATTCCTGGAGGTGTGGGGTTTCTTGCCTCAACAATTTATTTATGATGGAAAAGGAGTATTGATGGTGTAACTATTCTCCACGAGCCTTCTCCAGCAGTTGTTGGACCCAGAACACTGCCACTGACTCCAGCAGGTGCTGGGTTCACCTCCAAATGCCACAGCACTCGAAAAGCCTCCATCTGCATTTGCACGGTTGAAGTAGACGAGGTAGATCAGAGACAGAACCGAAGGGTTCCCCATTTGCTTTGTGCCACATGGTCGAGCCATTTTGGCCAACATGTAGCAATACAGCATGGAGCTACAAATTCACTGGGATTTCTGTGCTCATGCATCTGTTTGGCTTGTCAGGAGAGACGCCCCTTCTGCCACTCAGCAAAAATTAAATCAATTTACTCTTCAATGACTAGGCAAAGCAGAAGTAGCTTTGTTTGCTAATTAACTAATTTGTTGTTTGAGATCACCCGATAACTTTACCAGCAACACTGATAGCACAAATTTATCCGAGAACTTCATTTTACGTAAAAGCTGATTTCCAATCCTTATTTATATGTTACCAATTGTCAAAGAGAACCTGCAGGCCTCGATCTTTTCTGTACGTGAGGAACACAACTTCTCTGCAAGAGCTGTCTGCTCATCAATGGTGCTAATCTTGCCTCAAGGGTATCCGTTTCCAAAGGGCAGTGTACTTTGCTGTGGTTCCCTGTACAGTGCTGCACATTACACACTGTTACGCTAGTTGAAAGAGTTAAATGCTCATCACTTCTTCAACATCTTTAGCTAACGCTACCGCTTTTGATTCAAAAATGAACTAGATTTTTCATGCAGAACTAAGATTGGATTTAACTGGCATTACCATTATTTAAATGCAGAGTTTAATGCAGTCTAACATTGACTAAGGACTCCAGTGATATAATGTGGTGCTTTATCTCAGAAATTTTATGGAACGGTGGCAGGAACGGACGGACAGTTTACCAGGCATTGGTGACTTCGGTATGTTTCCAGAATATATGAGATATGTCAAAAGCAAATAATTTTGTATTTAAAATTTTTGTACTGATTTGAAAAAAATATCTTATTAAATATCTTTAAAAAAAAATAATGCTGTTTTCATTCAGCAGAACTGCTGGAAAGAACATTGAACCTGCTGAATACACATATCAGACCACAAGGACTCTCTGAAACCACTGGCAGCCTGACATGAAAAAAAAACTCCCCTCTACTGACAAAACCTGCCCAAAGCCACAGGGGGAACGCGCTGTCCCGGCATCGCACTTAGTGGGCGAGAGTGGCTGGGGCTGGGGGCCACGTGCCGAGCGACGGTCTCCCGCAGGGACGGGGCCTGCTCAGCACCAGCCCACGTGGGAGCGCAGCTTACAAAGGCACAGGAGCGGCGCGCGGGAAGCCAAGATGCCGGCCACGTCGAGGTGCGCTGTCGAGGGTTCGTGCTCACCTGAAAAAACAGAGCTGGCTGCTTGGGTTGGGAGATGCATGCCCTGTCCCTGGCTCTCCCTGTGACTTGAAAACAGCTTTTCCCATTCCTCACCCCCCTCCCCATTTTCTCACCTGCAGCAAAAACCTAGCGTGAAAGCAGCAACACATTTGTCACTGATCCACATCACTATTTAATTGTGGCTCCATCGTGGGGAGTAAATTATAAGCCATAGTGTGGCCCCTGCCCCGATCTCACCCCAAAGAAGCATAGAATCATCAGGTTGGAAATGACCTCTAAGATCATCAAGTCCAACCGCCAACCCAACACCACCATGCCCACTAAACCACGTCTAGAAAGACAGGGATTTACTCCAAGCAGGCAAACTCCTACACTGCCAACGCTAAAATGAATGCACTGAATACCTACTTGTGTCAGGTAATAGTTTCCTGAATCTCCCTTAGACTCCCTGAAGCCATCCCCGCTCCCCAGTGTCTCATTTTTTACTGCACAAAGAGAAAGAGAAAACATGAGTGAAGTATCACAATCAGTGTCTCTCACTTTCTGTCTAAAGCCTTCCATCACACACCATTTTCTCAGTTAAACACCTTTTATTTTAGCATTCCCCTGAAACTCCCCAGGCAACATTAAAAAAATCATGAAAAATTAAAATCAGGATGCTGCTCTTGATCTTGCCCACAAAAACTATGTCCCAGCTTTGCTTTTACTCAGCCTGGAGTGAGATCTCCACCCGCAGTACAGCTCAGCCTACCTACGTTCACAGATCTTCAGCTCTGTTTGCTCTACTAAGCCCCAAAGTTTGTTCTGAAAATCGATGCCGTATCTGACAGCACTTTGTGTACTTTACACACCATTACCGTTACTAATGGGGCTGGGCACGTGCACCCACACACACACTCTACTAACCTGGCAAAAATAAACCTGAGGGCACTGTCTTTAACACAGTTTATTCACAGGAAAATAATCTCTTTCCATTTGTAGCATTCAAATTTTCACTTGAAACAACTGTTAAGAATGTCTTCAAAATACAGCTGGCACTTTAAAGACGTATAAAACTTAAGACAAATGGCAAATAAAATAAGTATTTACTGATATCAAAACCAGATATTGAGCTTCATACGTTCTTAAAAATCAGACTCCACTTAAAAGTTATCTATACTACCTCCCAGGGTAGTTTAAAAGGAAAGCGTAGCACAGGAAACAAGAGGTACCACACACTGATTATTAAACACCAAAGTTGTGATTCTGTATTATTATCACCAGTCACTGGAAATGTAATTTATTAATATCTTTTAGGCACTCTCAGATTCGTATTCAGTGCAATAGTTCATGACCTTCCTTCTCAAGTCCCGTCTCTGTACTTGCCTTAATTACAGCAGAGGGAAAATACTTTCTCGACAAAAGACCAACAAACAAAAACCCCCTAAAAGTTGGAACCAAACGGAGCTTTCCACTGCTGCATGCCATGCTGCCTGGTTTGGGAGCACTTTGGTACCTCAGAGCTGGGTCCTGCTGATGGTGCAGTGTTTTGAGAGGGGTGACAGATAAAATGCGGGAGCACCTTTGCTGCAAGATGCTGAAATTCAGCAGGCTCCATGGAGAACACGACAGAGGAAGAAGGGATGAGACCATCCGACTTTGCAGTTGACACAGGAAGAAAACTGATGGGAGACACTGGGTACCTACATAGTTACACCATTACCAGACACGGAAATAAAGCTGGCAGCACCCTGGGATTCAAAATTGGCAGCTTCCTGCTGCCGATGTGGTAAAAAAATCATGTAGGCTTTAAAGGGAAGTTTCAGCGCAGATTTCACTTTCGGGAATGACAAAAACAGAAAAAGAAAATCTTAATAGCAGCTCAGCTCACCCTCAGAAAAGATCCGAATCAGCAGTACTGCTTTTTTCCAGAAGTCCCAAGGCAAGTCATTGGTATAGCAAAATGCCCGTGAAAACGCGTGCCCAGAGAGAACAGACGCTGTGACCTGTGGGCATCACTGAGAAACGCCCTACGTGCAGGTGTTCTTGCCTGCGTGAAGTTATCGTGTAAAAGCGATACCTGTCCTCAAGGCAGAGGAGCAGAAACGACTGTGTGAAGCGGGTGAAGCAGCGGGGCTGGTGCACACAGAATCCTACCAAAATATCTCACGGCAGGGAAAATTAATCACTTGGGTCATTGCTGATTATTGAAGAGAAAAGCTACTGGCCTGCAAGCTGTGCTTTCAAAAAAACCCAAAAACACAGTACCCTGTGGTTTATCAATGGTATTAGCTCTTGGCTCGGTCCTGATGGAATAAGCCTGGCTCTAAATGTTACTCAGCCACCAGCAACAGTAACCTCGGCACGCACGGCCTCAATATGCCCCCAGGAGCACAGAAGTTGGGGAAAAGTATCCCTGGGAGTACTGCTTAATTTCAAAAAGAAGAAGTCATGCATACAAATGGAGAGGCTCATTAATAAGAAGTAAACAAGAGCAGCCAATAGGGATACATGCTTTTAGACAGCATATTAAATGCATTGAAAATACCAAACACATTACTAAAAAAAAATAATTAAAAATCTTAGGGAGACCAAAAAGTGCTGATGTGGTTAAAAAAAAAAAAAAAAAAGAATAACTGAGTCTACTTTAAGTAAAATGAGTTTGGGGGACACCATTTGTTTGCCATGAAGCCTTTTTTCCAATTATTTTGATGGGTTCTAACTATAGCAGAACAAACTCCAGCCCCCAAGAAAGCAGAAAACCTCCTAGGAAAATTAGGAGAAGGAATCAGTTTAGATTAGTGGGAAGAGTATCTCTGGAGAGGGAATAAAGCAGAGAAAATAACCACATAGTCAAAAGCAGAGCTCCCTACCCACCTCCTGCCTCCGGGGACAGGGGTGGAGGAGCAGAGGGAGGCAGCCCGCACCATCACAAGAACCAGGCACTGCAAGGAGAGAGCAAACTCAACTGCTCTCCTGGGAAAAATCCTCACGGTCGGTGTACTGCGAGATGTTACACGGATGCGGCTGGATCTGTGCCAGCAGCCCGCGGGAGTGCTGGGGGGCCCGGCTCTGGGAGCGACCACAAGTTTCGAGGGGGAAGAGGTGGCCCTCCACTTCTGCCTGGCTCTGCTCTCAGAGTTTGAGATCTACCAAGGACTTCTAAGCAAAGAGAGCTCGGACAACACCATGACCTCTGTGAAAAGCCCTACCTCGGCATTTCTGTCATGTGGAATCACTATTGTCAGTAGTCTAAATCACTGCAGGTTGGGGCAGCAGAGTCACATACCGACCCTTTTAATTAACAGAAATAATCATGAGAAATAAATGCTGGTAGAAACAAGGACAGTAGTGTCATGTGACTGTTTTCTGATGCAAAAACCCTGTTTGTATTCAGATTTTTAAGTAAAGAGCTCCTCAAAGCCTCAGAAATGTGCATGTTTAAAAAAAAAAGAAACACAAATAACTGAGTAAGAGACCTTCTGCCA